GTGTATATTATTTTTAGTCTGTGTGAACGTTATTGCGTCTACAAACTACAATATATATATATATGAAAAATGATGTACCGACAGCCTATCTCAATTGTTGAGGCCCTAAAATTCCAGGACAGTCGATATAACCCCCAAAATAACCCCTTTTTGGAAAGTAGACAGTCCAATGTATTTAGTAAGAGGCATGGTGGGTTTTTGTAAGTCATTTTGTGTCACAATTTTTTGGAAATGTAAGAAATTAAAATAATTTCACAATTTTTTTTCACTATCACCAGAGCAGTACACCATCATCATAAGACTGGTGTGGCAGTAAGCAGGGACACGGGCTGGTGACAGTATGAAAAAAAGTATTATTACTTTTTTTCACATATTCAAACATTTTTTTTCATACAATTTTTTTAAATACTGTGATCAGAGCAGTACAGTGTTGACATTGAGACACTGTACTGATCTGTTAAGGTGATCAGGATTTTTTTACATTATGATTGCTTATCTTGGTGTTGATCACTGTATAAGCATAAATAGTTTTGAATAGCATCCATTCATGTGCCACTGTGTACATTTGTGATAACTGTGATTGGCCACAGCCATCACATGGTACAGGGCCACTGTGATTGGCCCTGTACCATGTGATCACTGTGACCAATCACAGAGATCACAATAGTACACAATGAATAGCTGTGGATTAAAGTCATTGTGTATAACTGACATGTGATCGAAGTGATTGGTCACAGCGATCACATGGTACCAGGGCCGCCTGATAAAGTGATTTCTGTTCTGTTATTTCAGCTGGTCACAGATCAAGCGTGAGGCGTGTGAGTGTGAGGATGTTACATGACGTCTACCCAGGATAACACGTCCAGGCGGGAGGCTTAATACAGTTCTAAAAGACTAATATGGGGTTTGTTTTACCTGTCAATTGCTTTGTATTTCCTTCTACCCATTTCTAAGTTTATTACAGCTCTGTCAATTAGCACAGCCTATGTAGCAGGGCAGGTCACCTAGGTTTTCTTAGGTTCACACTTGCAAAAAATTCTAATGCTGACACTAACGTGAACCAACGCACCAATAGCAATAATGCGTATTATAAAAAGCCCTCCAGACACCCTCCAAGTGTTTTTTTTATTGAGGGGGAGGTGTTTTTTTTCCCAACTCAGTGATATTTGATAAATGCTTGTCACAGGCGTGTATATGGTGGGTTACCACAGACTTGAATGGACTTAAATGGAAATAGTTGACAATCTTCATCTCCTCCAGTCCGGCTCTGCAGTCCTGCCGAGTGCTTGCCCTGGCTGTCTATCATATCAGCTCCGGTTGTCACGGTGTGTTCCAGCCTCACGCTTGTTAGAAGTTCCGGCAAGCCATGCATCCAAATCTTGCAGTTCAGGTGGAGTGCTCCTTTAACCTCAGCTGGTCGTTCCGGCATCTCCTCTGTTCCTAACCGGATGCCCTGCCTGGTTTACTGAGTTTACACCTCCAGCCGCAAGTTCTGCAATCAACATCTGCAGGCACTCGTGTTCCTCCTGTCCATCGGCACCATTTGTTCCACCTTCAGTGGGGCTGGGCTGGAGATACAAGAGAGGCCAACCACGTCAATTTAGACTTCTATCCACTACTGGTTCCGTGTACTGCTTCTCCCTCTGGTACCCTGGCTAGTTGTTTGGCTGGTTACTTCTCTGTCCAGACAGTATTGTTGTCAGAGGGTCAACACGATAGTCAGGGAATACAGAATTTTTTAGAAGGGGTTGTCTAAAATGACAGCCTTTATGACAGGGATCCTTTGAAATATTCTCATTGAAATGGTGAATACAAACCCCTCATCTCCAACATTCCATACTTGTCACTAAAGACTATACAGGCAAGTCATAACGTACACCTTTATGCTTTACATAACTGCTAGCTTACTAAGCAAACTGACCATAGCGGGCTTTACAATACCAAGTCTTCCGCAGCTTACATTAATCTTTCAGTAAACATCATTAGCCCATGGAACATCCAACCCTGAGAACTAGAAACTGAAAATGTCACATGAATTAATTAATGTCTACTAAAGCCAAGTGTTTTTTTTTTGATTTTGAAGGAGTGGGCCGCGTGTATCTCCCTGGTGCCCAACGTGTGACCCAGAAGCCACATACAGCCCTTTGGCACTTTTTCTGGCCTTGCAGGGCCCTTGCAGTAAGTAGTCTGTTTTCCTTGTCCTAGGTTCTTACATAGAGTGCATCTTCTCTGAGCTGCATGCTGGCAGCCTGTAGAAGTGGATCCAGATATAGTGGCTGCACAGACCCAGTCATATGTTAAGATTTGATAGTCATGCACCTGAACACCCACTGTCTGCTGTAAGATGCTTACCTGCAGCTCTGGGCAGATATAGACACTAAAACAAAGGCAGCCTTCATGCGGTACAGGTGCAAGCGCCTGTCCGAATTAGGCCTTAGACAACAAAAAATCCCTAGTGAGCTATTTGTTAAAGGTTTCAACTGTCAATGCTGCTGGCCCTTGCACTCTCAGGGCTGCTTCCCTGAACTTCCGGTCTTCACAGGAATAGCAGTGGACAGCGCAGTCTCCAGTCAGTCTGTCTGCTTTGAGAAGAGAGGGGAAAGAGCAGGGAAGTGCCTTGCCAACCTAGGTTACATGGCTGTGTGTTTCTGTTAATGCACACAGTGAAGGGAGACACATTGCTAATTCATGCATGCAATGGTGGCTCCATAAAATGCTGCAAGAGAAAGGAGCCACCTTGAAACAGCAAATATGGGCAGTGGTTATGGCATCAGCCTAAACTGAAACTTGGGCAAGGATTAAAAGATACTGCATATTCAATGAGGGTTCATTCACACTAGGTGCGGTGGGACCGCCATTTACAAACCGCCACTGTCATTCTCTTAGAGAGCCGTCTGCGGGAGGCAGGACAGCTCTGGATAGAGGGCGGGGCTGCCTGAGTTAATAGCAGGTGATTGGTTGTTAGGATGCAGGGAAGTCCTAGTAACCAATCACCAGCTTGAAGCTCCTGCCCTCTGTTCAGACCCACTGTGTCTCCAGCCCTAATAGTAATTATGGGACTGGGGACACTAATGGATGCCTGAGGACAGTAATGGAGGCCTGAGGACAGTAAATGGGGGCCTGAAGACAGCAATTGGGGGGCTGAGGACAGTGATGGGGGGCTTGAGGACAGTAATGGGTGCCTGAAGACAGTAATGGGGGGGCTGAGGACATTAATGAGGTCACTGAGGACATTATTGGGGGGGACTGAGGACAATAATGAGGTCGCTGAGGACAATAATGGGGTCACTAAGGACATTATTGGGGGACCAAGGACAATATTGAGGGGACTGAGGACAGTAATGGGGGAATAGCTGAGCCGGGCCGGAGTGCTAGCCTGCTCAGTGCCCTACTGCCTGTCCTGCTAGGGAAGGGGGGAGGCAACACCAGGTTTTACTGCATCAGGTGACACCAACCCTGGTGACACCACTGGGGCAGTCTATTTCATGCAGTTTTTTGGACAAACAGATAAGGTGAAGAGAGATAGCAAATAACCTGACAAGGGTGGTAATCCATCCTCACTAAAATAAAGTTTTGCCTTTAGTTTACACTTCATTTCTCAGTAGGAGATATTCCCATGTCTGGGCCCCCCATAGCCAGGAGTAGATACAAGGTAACAGTGACCATTTATTCTGATCTCAAGGGAAGCTTTTTGTTTTTCTCTTTTAGCTTACAAGATGTGGTAGAAACAAAGTGCAATCTGACATGTGGGAGTAATACAGGCATTTCTGGATCTGTCATGATGCCAGCATCCCCAGACGTGTGACAGTCACCTCCCAAGGCTGACATTTACATTTAAGGTGGAGCGCCGGGTACAGGCAGTGGATTGGAGTGACGTAGATATGGCGTGTGCGGGGGTCAGTGTCCAGGGCTGTGTGTTATTAGTAGTAGGGATTCTATAACAATTCTCCTGATACTAGCCCAGTCCGTGCCTGCAGCTGGCATCCTGCACTGTACTCTACAGTCACTAAGAAAAGCCTCAGGTTACATTGTGCGCGTGTATATTGGAAAGCGTGCAAGAGTGTACAGCGTGAGCCAAGTGTGTATTTATTTCTGCTCTGCAACAAAATCCAGGTCGTTTTTCCCAGAAGTGAAATCAATTCTGTCATTATGAACTAACATTTTATAATTTAACTACATATAACAAGCTCCTTGTGTATCAGTTGTTATAACAATTATGCTTTCAATTCTTTACCTTTTTATGAGTTTCTCCTTTCTCTTCTATGTCATAAAGCAGGGTTCTCTAAACTACGGTCTGCAAGCCAAATCTGGTCCACTGCAAGATTTATTCAACCATCTGATTGGGACTCTGATGTAAAGGGGGACTCTGATGTAAGGGGGCTTTGATGGGGAACTCTGATTTATTTGGAATTTGTTTGCTTTGTTTTACTAAAGTTGTTTTTCTGTTGTTCTAACTCATATCATACTGTTTATGAAAGGAGTTTAATGAAAACATATTCATTTAAATTTGATTTGTTCATGTATTTTTATTTAATTTTTTTCAGCCTGCGAATATGTGTAAAATATATGATGATGCCCTCATACTGAAAAGTTTGGAGACCCCTGTTTTAGAGCAGATTTCTCAACTAGGGATCTGTAGAATTCTAGGGTTCCTCCTGAAGGTGCTAAGGGGTTCCTAAAGCTGTGGCAGATTGATCCCCTGCCTAAATGGCCACCAATTCATGGAGCAATTTTTCACAGTCCAGTGATGTAAGGGGTTGTGTCAACAATAACCACCTATCTTTGCTGACTACACAACTTCTAGGCCTAGCACGGTAAAAACAGGAAGTTGAACTTAGGTTTTACTGTCCCGACTGCTCAGCTAAAGCCTCATTGACAAGGGCACTGTGGCCCGTAGTCCATGAACGGTGTGGGAGTTTAAGTGGTTTGAGCCATTAGGTGCTAAGTGCAGGCAGCTTACGCAGTGGCCAGGGGCAGACTGACAACTCATGGGGCCCCTGTGTCCTTGCCCAAACTCAAAAAAGCCTATGAAAAAGGTAGCAGGGGCATCTCATGGGTCCCCTATTGACCCCGGGCCCCGGGCAGTACCCAAGTTTCCAAATGGTCAGTCCACCCCTGGCAGTGGGGTAACTAGAACCTTCAGAACCTGGGTGCAAGAAACCATGAAAGGCCCTTCTAACCCTCGGCTGGTGCCCTTCCTTCCAAACCCGATGATGGAACGCCAGGCCTTGGTTGCAAGTGCAACCTTTGTGACCCTGGTAGTTCCGCCACTGGTGTCAGTAGTTTTTTTTATTTTTGTTTTGGTTTCTTTTTTTTTATTTATTTTACAATTTTTTTGTTATTATTTAGAAAACACATTTAGGAGCCCTGTTGGGGTGAGGTATAAGGAGTCTAAAACAGACCCTTGACATCTCACTTTTGAGACAAAGAAAGGAGATTGAGTACACAGCCCTCAATCTCCATCTTTGCACCCTCAACAACACAAAATGAATGTATAGGAATAGTTCTGTACAGAGCCTCTCTTTCAACTGAAATATAGTAAAAACAGTTTACTATGTTTCAGTTATGAATGGACAGTGTCAGTGATCGGTACAGTTCACTGACTCTTCATTCAGAAAAGGAGGGGGCCAGTTTTACCAGCCCCTTTCCCACTCTTGATCCTGACAGATACCCCGCAGCAACTTGAGGGAGAGGAAAGGAGGGAAATCGGCAGTGCTGCAGGGGGTAAGGGGGGCCAGGAGAGAAAACGGGGGGCAGGAAAGAGCTTATGGGGGCAGCAGAAAAATGCTGGATAGGAGGAGTGACTGCATATAGAGGAACCAATCTCTTTATGTTCCTCCTGCTGAATTCTGGCTTCTCCTCCTCTCCCTCCCATAGGCATTCAGCGGGTTCAGGAGGAACATGGAGAGATGGGTTCCTCTATATGCAGTCGCTCCTCCTATCCAGCATTTTTCTGCTGCCTCCCTGAGCTCTTTCCTGCTCCCCTCCCCCCTGCTCTCTTCTGGCACCCCCTCACCCCCACCTCTCCTCATTTTTAGGCATACGGGGGGGTCACACAGGATCCCTGCAGCCTGGGGCCAGGTCACAATTGGAACCCTTTAGGTATGCCCCTGAGCTCATGTATATGTATACGAATGCAGTGGCTGCATGGACACAGTCTTTTGTCCCAATTTGATAGGCTCACTGCCTATCAAACCCTCTGAAGGCCACACCATTGTGCTACAGTTGCCAGGGCAGTTGTTCTGCTGCCCCATTAAAAAATACGTTTGAGAATGAATCATAATAAAACACGCATACTTACCTAGGTGATTGCAGCATCGTTCCCCTGCCGAATCTAAGACTGAGAACTGAGCGATCATAGACCACTGAACACTCAGGCTTAACCACCTGCTTTTACCCCCACTGGCTGCACATCTGAGCAACCCTTAGGCTGGCCATACATTATACAATTTCCTTTAGATTTACCTTCTACTATGTAGTGCAATGGCCTGCCTGATTGTATACAAATTGAAAGTGTTTAGGTTTGACCTAATATTATATGGTTTTGGTAAATCTAAAGGAAAATTCTACAACAAAAATTGTATAATGTATGGCCAGTCTTAGTTTACACTGATGTATACAAGCTGTGCTCAAGGTAAATATTCTTGCTGCCTATACCAGGTTTGTTTATTTGATTTATTTATTTGTGTTGAAAGTAATAGTAATATTGGCAATAGATGTTTCTGGTCAGTTGTAAGTGGGGAGGACGACGTGTGGAAAGTTTTAGCTCATGATAGCTCGCAGCTGGAGTTCTACGGCTGGCCAGACAGTCACCCCATCCACTTCATTGTTAACGATAACATAGTTGCCAGCAAGTTGGAATCATATTTAGGGAAAGTTTGATGCTAAACAGGTATAGAGAAGTAAGTAATATGCTGTACAGTCTTGGCAGATCTCACTGTACCACACTACTCATCTTGACATGTCCACTCAACTTAGTTGTCATTACATTCTTGTAAGATTTAAAGCTGAACTCCGAGCAGAAAAACTCTTTTAAATATGCTTCTCAGTAGCCACTACTTAAAACTACTTTGTGGTCACCAAATGTTGTTGAAAACCCAGATAATACATTGTAAAAGTAGCAGTGACATCCCTGTGCTGTACATAGCCTGTGCAAAGATCAGAGCTGTGGGAGGGACCCAACAGGCTCCACCCACTACAGAAAACTGCAGGAGAGGGCAGAGACCAGACCAGTCACCCTGCACAGGGAGAGCAGCAGTGACCGGTGTAGATTACAGGATGCTATTGTACAAAGGCAACGTTCTGCGTATGAAATTAATGGGCTGCCCTATGCACGAGAAACATGCAAAAAGGTAAAGGCATGATTTTTAAAACTGCACCACACCAAAATGTATAGTATTGCAGTAATATGCATTTTGGCAGGCTTGAATGCACATTTGTGCGATGCATGGGGGTGCCATTGAGAAATAATGGCACCTGCACGCGTCTGAAAAAGGGCAGCACGTTTTTGTGCAGCAAAGCGTGATACTATGAATGCACTCCCTGCACCACACCTGGTGGGAACTAAGCTTAACCCTAGGTTCCCGCCTAAGCGTTTTTTGCAGCGTTTTGCAGAAACACACTATAGTCCATTTAACATGATTTCCTAAGGGATACATTCACATGTCCGCGTTTTCACCCAGTGCGGTTTTTGGAAAGAGTCAGGGACTTTTTTGAATGCAAAAAGTTGTATTTTTGTTTCTATAGACTTCAAAAACGCTGCAGAAAAGCATGTAGTGCATTTTTGATATGTTTTTGCCACATTTTTGATGCGTTTTGCATTTTAAATCTGCCTATCAACAAGAAGAAAAAAAAAAAAAGCAAAACGCATCCAAAATGCAGCAAAAAAATGTGCAAAAACACAAAACGCAAAACGAAATGCACTGCAGAAACTGATCAAACGCAAACTGCATAGGTGTGAACCTAGTCTTAGACTTGCTTTATGAGGTCCTTCAGGAAAGAGAACGTGACCAATGCCTCGACATTGGCCATGAAAAGAAGACCACAGTCTGAACTGCATACGGCTTTCCCTCTTCACAACAAAAAGAAGGATTGCAATTTTGTTCTATCTAAAGGCAAAACTATTTTTTATTTAGATTAGAACTCCTTTCCAGGATCTTAATGTTGTCTTTATCCCTGCTAGGAAGATGGTCCTACTGACCATTGTCATGTGAGTAACAAATTTCAAATCTGAGTTGTCACTAAAACAGGAATAATGGGGAAATCTTCGGATTGGGACACCTCTGAGAGAGAATATCCTTCACTTTGGAAAGATTTCCTTTCACTAGCTGTAGGGAGATTTACTAAAAGTGGTGTCTACAGAATCTGGTGCAGCTGTACATCGAAGTCAATCAGCTTCTAAGTTCTGCTTTTTCAGTTAAGCTTTGGCAATAAAACCTGGAAGCTGATTGGTTTCTATGCAGAGCTGCACCAGATTTTGCACCGTGCAGTTTTAGTAAATAATCCCCTGTGTTTCTACAGGACAGGAACTGAAAGCAAATGTCTCAAATAGGATACAGATGGCAAAAAGACCCGATGAGGCTTTTAACCATTCCCTACTCTATGCAATAAAAAAAGTTTGCCTTAGATATAATTTTTTGAAACTTTTTATAAATGCTTTCATGCTCTCCGGGCTGAACATACAAAAAACTAACAGATTCCTCCATCCATACAACCAAGGTTCATGGAGGAATCTCTGCTGTAACATTATATTCTGAGAGTTGGTCTTGCAGCTGTCAGCATACATTGATCAGTGGCTGCAGCTGCTGAATGACCAAAATTTTCCAGCATGTCCCTTTGACAGAAGTAGATCAAACGATTGACTTTTGTTGAACAGGGACAGCCATACACTGATCGGAATTCCCTGATGAATTTTGATCCACTCATGGCCAGCTTTGGTTGAAGAATTAGTTTTATAGGCCAGCACCTATAGGTCCAGATAGTCATGAGATTGCTTGTATACAGGGGCGGACTGACAACTCATGGGGCCCCCGGGCAAGAGGGGATCATGGGGCCCTGTGTCCTTGCCCAAACTCAAAAAAGCCTATGAAAAAGGTACCAGGGGCATCTCATGGGGCCCCCTACTGACCCCGGGCTCTCGGGCAGTGCCCGAGGTTCCAAATGGTCAGTCCGCCCCTGCTTGTATACACACTAAAATATCTACAGTAAAAATCATAAAAGGTCAAATAAATTCTTTGTAATATTCTGTTACCATGTACTAACACAATCCATATTGACGCATTGTTCAGATTTTAGTAATCAGATAGGATGTAGCGGTGCTTTCATCTTGTGTGTGTAGACCACAGAACCCCTCATTCATCATGATGGGCTGCACAGCAGGAATATATTTGACCCTGAATGAAATGTCCTTCAACCTGGATTCAAATGTTGACTTTCAAATGCACAAGGTACAAATAATGTACAGCAACAAATCACATACACAGCTTGAATGACTGCAGTGTCCTCTGCTGCTAATAGAATGAACTGCAGGAGAATTAATGAGCAGGGTTGTCACAATTAGTCATGTACAGTATGGGCTTAATAGGCAATATTGTATTTCTGGAATACACTATAAATGATATTCAAATTCTGGCAAATATTATATTTGTTTTCAATTTGCATTTTTTGGTGTCATAAGGAAGCGTGCACAGAATGCAGGTTTCCCGCACTGCATTCTGCTGTGAATGAGCCCTGAGGCTTGGGTCACATATACACATTTTGTGTTTGCTTTTTCCAGTGCTTTTTGCAGTTTGTTGTTTTTGCAGTTGTTTTTGGCACATTTTGCTACATGTGGCATTTTTTTTTTCATAAGGCACATTTTTCTGCTGTGAATGAGCCCTGAGGCTTGGGTCACGTTTGCTTTTTCCAGTGCTTTTTGCATTTTGTTGTGCATTTTGCTACATGTGTTTTTGGCACTTTTTACCACGTTTTCAGCTTTTTTTTTTATTTTCTTAAAGTGGCATTTTTTCTGTTGCTGGGCAGATTAAAAATGCAAAACATGGCAAAAACATGGCAAAAATGCACTACCATTTATTTCATCAGCTTCTCCATTGAACTCTATGGTAGCAAAAATGCTGCTTTTTGCTTTTAAAAAAGTCCCTGACCCTTTCCAAAACGCTGCACATGGAAGATATTTTACCTTCATGCACAGAATGCATGAAGGACCTTGAGCCTTTACAACCACTTTTTTATGTACAGGCTGGAGGAAATAGAGAAAGTTGGGGACATGATTGAAACCTTTAAATACATCAAGACGGTGAATTAGGTTTAGGAGGGTGATATTTTCAATGTGAAGCCAAGATCAAGAACACAGGGACCTTAAACTAGCAGGAGAGAAGTTCAAAACTAATCATAGAAAGTATTATTTTACTGAAGGATTGATGCTTGAAATAGAATTCCAGTAGTAGAGGTAGTGAGTCAGACAATAGTAAGACAAACATAGATCTAAGCTCAAAAAAAATAAGAAAAAATAAAAAAACAAATATATACACTATATTGCCAAATCCATATGAAGACTTTATTGATTATGTAGGAGTGACATACAAGCACACTGACACGTTTCGGCAAGCAGCCTTGATCACAGCACAGTGCTTAATAAAAAGGACAGAACATACATATATATACATTATATTGCCAAAGTATTGGGATGCCTGCCTTTACACGCACAGGAACTTTAATGGCATCCCAGTCTTAGTCTGTAGGGTTCATTATTGAGTTGGCTACTATAACAGCTTCAATTCTTTTGGGAAAACTGTCCACAAGGTTTAGGAGTGTGTCTATGGGAATGTTTGACCATTCTTCCAGAAGAGCATTTGTGAGGTCAGGCACTGTTGTCGGACGAGAAGGCCTGGCTCACAGTCTCCACTCTAATTCATCCCAAAGGTGTTCTATCAGGTTGAGGTCAGGACTCTGTGCAGGCCAGTCAAGTTCCTCCACCCCAAACTCACTCATCCATCTCTTTATGCTTTGTGCACTGGTCATGTTGAGACAGGAAGGGATCATCCCCAAACTGTTCCCACAAAGTTGATGGCATGAAATTGTCCAAAATGTCTTGGCATGCTGACAACTTAAGAGTTCCCTTCACTAGAACTAAGGGCCAAGCTCAACGTCGGAAAAACAACCCCACACCATAACAAACCCCCCCCCCTCCCCACCAAACTTTACACTTGGCACAATGCAGTCAGGCAAGTACCGTTCTCCTGGCAACTGCCAAACCCAGACACATCCATTGGATTGCCAGACAGAGAATTGTGATTCATGACTCCAGAGAACACGTCTCCACTGCTCTAGAGTCCAGTGGCGGCGTGCTTGCACCACTGCATTCGATGCTTTGCATTGCACTTGGTGATGCAAGGCTTGGATGCAGCTGCTCGGCCATGGAAACCCATTCCATGAAGCTCTTTATACACTGCTGTTGTGCTGAAGGCCACACAAAGTTTGGGGGTCTTCAGCTATTGACTTTGCAGCCAGTTGGCGACATCTGCGCAGTGTTCGCTTCGGCATGCGCTGACCCCACTCTGTCATTTTACATGACCTACTACTTCGTGTGGCTGAGTTGCTGTTGTTTCCAGTTGCTTCTACTTTGTTATAATACCACAAACAGTTGACCGTGGAACATTTAGTAGCAAGGAAATTTCACAGATGGACTTATTGCACGGTACCATGCATGAATTCACTGAGTTCCTGAGAGCAACTCATTCTTTCACAGATGTTTGTAGAAGCAGTCTGTATGCCTAGGTGCTTGATTTTATACATCTGTGTTCATGGAGGTGTTTAGGGTGTTTAGAACACCTGAATCCAATGATTTGGAGGGGTGTTCCAATACTTTTGGCTGTATAGTGTATATGCAGTCATGGCCAAAAATATTGTCTCCCATGCATTTGTGTCAGAAATTGCACCATTTCACCCAGAAAATTGTTGCAATTACAAATGTAAATGCAATTTCTTTTGTTTGTATTGGTATGACACAAAAAAATGGAGAAATAAAAATCCAAATCTGACACATTCCACCCAAAACTCCAAAAATCGACTGGACAAAATTATTGGCACCCTCAATTTAATATTTGGTAGCACACTCCTGGGAAAAAATAACTGAAATCAGTCACTTCCTGTAAACATTTGAGCTACTTCCACCTTTCTACTGGAATTTTTGATCACTCTTCTTTCGTCAACTGCTCCAGGTCTCAGCCAACTGCTGTTCTGAGATCTCTCCACAGGTGCTCTATGAGATTGAGATCTGAACGCTTTCCAGTTCAGTACTCTCCAGTGCTTTGTCTTAAACCATTTCTGGGTGCTTTTTGACATGTGCTTTGGGTCATTGTTCTTCTGTAAGACCCATGACCTCTGACATAGACCCAATGTTCTGCCACTGGGCCCTACATTACACACTGGAATACTTTGGTAGTCTTCAGATTTCCTAATGCCATACACACAGTCAAGACATCCAGTGTGAAGCAAAGCAACCCAGGACAGTGCACAGTGGACACAGGAACATTAAGATCTATAGAGGTGGACTTGTAACCTTGAGATTGTCCATGCCTTTCCACAATTTTTGCTCTCAAATCCTCAGACAAATTCTTTGCTGCTCTTTCTCTTCTCCATGCTCCATGTGGCACACAGAGACACACAACAGGTTGATTTTTCACCATTTTACCTGGTTGCCATTATGATTTCTATATTGTCAGCACCTGTTAATTGATACAGGTGAATTTAATTACAAATTATAGGAGCATCACAAACTTGGAATGCAATTATTTCTTACAATTTTGAGAAGATGCCAATAACTTTGTTAAGTCCACTTTTGGAGTTTTGGGTGGAGTGCGTCAGATTTGGCTTTTTGTTTCTCCACTCTTTTTGTGTCATACCAATACAATCAGAAGAAATAAACATTTGTAATTCCAACAATTTCCTTGGCGAATTGGTGCATTATCTGACAGAAATGCAGGGGTGCTAATATTTTTGGCCATGACTGTGTATGTGTGTGTGTGTATGTATGTATGTATATATATATATATATATATATATATATATATATATTATGGTTGCACTGATACTAAACATTCCCCTTCTGACAGCTGAAATGTAAAGTAAAAAATTAAAACAGGCAATTGTTAAAGCAGAGTTCCAGCCATTTTATCGTTTATTAGAGGTCAGCAGCTCCAAAAACTGTAGCTGCTGACTTTTAATAAACACACACTTACCTGTCCCAGAGTCCGTGCAGTCCCTTCTCCCCTTCTCTCCACCACAATGCTGGCATCTCAACTGTGGGCACCAGGCTGTGACAGCTTGCCGCTTCACAGCTTGGGGCCCACTGCACATGCGCGGGTCACACTGCGCCTCCTAATTGGTCCGGCAGTCTCTTGGGACCTGTGAAAGTTCCCAGGAGACTGCAGGAGGGAGGAGGGGGCCGAACTTTTTACTCACTTTGGCGCGGAGAACTTAGCCGAAAGTGGAAGCGGGTACCTGTCAGAAACAGGTATCTGCTCCCCCCTCCCCCCCCCAAAAGGTGCCAAATATGGCAGTGGAGTGGGGGAGGAGGCAAATAAGCGGAACTTCCGCTTTTGAGTGGAACTTTGCTTTAAGAACTGGGGCTGCCACATCCTTAACAACTGAAAACTGAAGTGTAAACAAGTCTCTGGAATTGGAGCTGTCAAAAAAAGCAGCCTGACAATGTTTATTAACAACATTCTTCTAAAACATAGATACAAAATGAAACATTGTTTCTTTTTAGTTTTATCTGTTTCTTCATCTACAGATCAAAGGGATGACCTTCCATCTGCAGATTAAGTCAGTTATAAGCAATCTGTCAAAAATGTTTTTTAAAAATTTTTTTTTTTTTTTTTTTAACTTAAATGTTCCTTTATTTCTCCCCTATTAACCCTTCATTTACTCTAATCAGCCCTAATTAATTCCTTATTTTCAATCTCCATTTAATTATTATTATTTTCTTACTAATTTTTATTCATTTCTATCTTATAAACTATTAATTAAAACTTTCTTTTTTTAATTTTGTTCATTAATATTTTTACACCTTATCATATATTTACACGTTTCATGTTGAAAAAAAGCAAAAATTAAAAAAATACATTTATTTAATTGGTAAATAACTTTGTAATGCTTCATACCAGAAACATAATCA